ACACGCAATGTTCTGATTGCACCACAAACGCAGTAGTCATCCTTACCTTTCACAGAGGCACTGACTTTTATAAATATGAGCTTGATAGTGTAGAATAATCATATCCAAGGACCAGTGCTGGGTTTCAAAAAATTTTGGAACCTCTTCTGTAGGTGTGGCCTGCTTTCCGGGTCCACTGGTAGAACCTCTTCTAACTGGTTCGGTAGATTTGACGAACCGGTTCTACCGAATAGGTGCAAACTGGTAGGAACCCACCTCTGCTACCTACCTATTGTATTTTTCTCCCTCTCTCTCCATCCCTCTATCTACCTACCTACCCACCTACTCTCTTTCTCCCTCCCTCCCTACTGTATTTCTCTCTCTCCATCCCTCTACCTACCTACCTACCTACTCTCTCTCCCTCCCTACCTATTGTATTTCTCTCTCCCTCCCTCCCTCCCTCCCTCCCTCTTTTCTACTTACCTATCTACCAACTCTCTCTCTTTCCCTACCTACCTACTGAATATCTATCTATCTATCTATCTATCTATCTATCTATCTATCTATCTATCTATCTATCTATCTATCCCACCTACCTACATACCTACCTACCTACTCTCTCTCTCTCTCTCTCTCTCCCTACCTACCTACTGTATTTCTCCCTCTCTTTCCCTCTATCTACCTACCTACTTTTTAAAAAAATTGCCTATTTAAAATCTTGGTGCGTCATACTCCGAAAAATACGGTAATTTTACTAATATTAAGTAATATTTGGAAAAATACATTTCACTGAATTTTTTGTATTCTTAACAAATGTAGCACAGTAGAACAACAGGGGCCTTCTACAGAAACACAGAGTGCAGCACCTACCCAGCGATCAGTTATACACAAGCCATTTACACAGTCACGGATTCCTCCAGACCTACCCATGCATCCAGCACCACGGCACATAACTGAAGAGGAGCTATCAGTACTAGAGGGCTGTTTACACCGTTGGAGAAAAGAGGTGGAAAATGATACTAGAGGTACAAATTTGGAGTTTGCCTTAAACTATATACATACTTTGAGAATGAAACAACATTTAGATAATAAAAAACAACAGCATTTGAATAAAAAGTAAATTTATATAGCATCTCCCAGAGTTCACTGGATAAATGGATGGTAACTTTATAAATTGGATGGATGGGTGGATAAGTGGGAGAATGGTTAAAGATATGTGATAGAATAATATTTCATACTAATTGATATTGAACAAGCCAATGTTATGATACAATTTATTTATAAAAATTCAATTTTAGATAATTCACAGTAATTATTTTAGAATATGACACTTTTTTTGTTACTTTAGATTTGCAAGAAAGCATAGCTAGAATACAGAGAACAATTGAGTTAATGTACTCTGACAAATCAATGTTGCAAGTAAGTACTCTTTCTGTATAACAACATTTATTCGTGATGCATTTTGTACATGTTAAGAGTCTAAATACATATACATTTACATTACTATGAACACAATGTAAAATGCCTGTATTTTTGGAGATTATGAATCTTTAGCACAAACAAGACCTTGTCATATACTTTCCAATTCCATTTTTCAGAAGATAAGAATGATTCTTACAGTTGCAGTTTGTGTAACAATCATTATGTAATTTATTTTAGCTCACCCATTCATAATTTGAACTTCTGTGGATATAAAACAGTTATAAGCTGATATTTTAAGAAAGCAGTAAATCTAATTACCAACAAAAGTACAGAATGTATCATTTATTCTCCCAAGAATCATGTTGCTTATACGCAGTCTGCTAAATTCTTACGCAGTTTCAAACTGGAACATAAATAAACTAGATATTAATACCCTGTTTAAACATGACAGTGGTCAATACTTGTGAAATCCTTCAGGTATTGGTGAGTGAAATAAAATGCATGGGACATTTTTTTATCAGATATAGTTAATATCTCATTCATGTGTTTTATATTGCTTGTTTCAGCCATTCATAATCAGTATATAAGTTCAAAGGGATATGCAATGTTCTGTATGGCAGGAGCAAAATTTACCTGGAAAGTCTACAGTAGAAACATCACTATTGCCAGAATGTAGTTGCACAGCTTTGCATGAGCAGGAAAAGAAAAACATTATTGTATTTTTATTATGACAGAGTTGCTTATCCATCATATCTTGATTTTATTTGATTTAGGTTCCTTATCGGTTACATGCGGTGTTAGTTCATGAAGGCCAGGCTAATGCAGGACATTATTGGGCATATATTTTTGACAGTTATCAACAGAGGTGGATGAAGTACAATGATATTTCTGTGACAAAATCTACTTGGGAAGAGCTTGAGCGTGACTCATTTGGTGGTTATAGGAATGCAAGTGCTTATTGTTTAATGTATATCAATGATAAAGAACCACTTTTTATACAAGGTAATATATAATGTGTTGCTCCCTGTATGTGAATAACATATTACAATATTCATATTACTAAACATCACTATTTAATATTGCTTGAGACCTAGAGAGGCAAGTAAACTATAGTTTAATCTGAATATGCCTGTTTAAATTTTTTGTTGTGATTCAGTTTGGTATTGCTGAATTGTAAATAAAGGGCTCTGTAAAAGAGTTTTCATTGAAAAGAACCCTGTAAAGCAGGTATGTACGTGTATGATACATTGTGAGCTATAGGGGAAGGCAGGAGAGAAGTGCCCTGTGTATTGCATTGCTTCCATTTTCTTCAGTCCCTTTCGATACAGTTCTCTAAAAGTAGAGTTACCCACATATATACTTTAGAAACTACCCAGCTGAATTCTGGTAAAATTCTTGCTGAAAAATTGTTCATCTAAAGCTTTTCAAAGCACTGATGGTGATGAATAAGAAGGGTGTTTGACCCTTCTCACAACAGTTGACTAACCCACCTGCAAACCATTGCATAGATGGAACAAAATAAAGAATAATATTAAAAAATAACCAAGTTCTTTTTTAAAAAAAGACTAAATAAAGCTTTAGTCTCCCATTAACATAAAGTCTGAACTGTCACCTATAGACGAAATTCATAAATATTTGATATTCTAAATGACCTTATACCTTTATCTCTTATAGAAGAATTTAACAAGGACACTGGGCATATGATTTTTGGATTGGATACATTACCTCCTGATTTAAGAGATTTTGTTAAAGAAGACAATAAACGTTTTGAAAAAGAGTTAGAAGAATGGGATGCACAGCTTTCTTTGAAAGCTCAACAAGAAAAAATATCCCCTGTTCCCAGGGTGCCTATGTCATCTACTACCCAAGGTTTGTAAAGAAAGCCATTTTTCAATGCTTTTTGCTTATAGTAAAGTGTGAATCTTTTTTCCACCTTTAATATTACATATATAATTTAATTGAAAAACAATTTAATTGAAAAGTGTGAATCTTCTGTCACACTACAGTAGCAAACATAACCTGCTGTGCCATGAATGCCCAAGAACAAGAGTGCTCCATCTATACTTGATATACTTGATATATATATTTCCTTATCTCTACCTATGCCAAATAGCAGCTAATACTAATAGAATGTGCCAGCATATTTCTTTTTGCTGTTAGCTTAATCAAGTCCCAAATAGATACCAGGCTAACATATTTATAATAGACTTTTCCTTTTTGTCCCCCCAAAATAATGGGAGAAGAACCAGAGTATTTGGAACAACCCTCAACAGCTGATTTCTCAAAACAGTTGAAAGAAGACTCTATACGAGCAATCACAAAAGCATTTACTGAACAAGAAGATAAGAATCCTGAAACTATTATGCACATGGTGAGATCCTTAATATATGGATTTTTAAATTTTGGCTTACATTAAAACAATCCCACTAGCTCTGTTTTAGTACACTTATGTAACCGTTTCTGTTTGCTTTTCTGCCCTCTCAGAGAGGTGTTTATTGGCTAATTAAGTCACATTATGGCAAGCTTTGAATTTATTTATTTCTTGATTTCTTTGAAAATGTACCAAGGAAAAACTATTTTCTTCGCAAAATTTTCTTGATGAGACTAGGTGCTTGTATCCTATTAACAAGTAAAAATAACTGTCCTTTTTGGCAGATGACATTGAAAATTGGCACATAGGCAAAAGAATTAGGAAAAGTATGAGATTAATGTTTATTACAATGCCCTCTGCATTACTTGGATTCATATCCAAGTACAAAGTTGTTTCTACTGTTCAAGATCACAGGAAAATAACTAGAAAAGTGATGATTTTATTATAAGTTACAACAAAATATATATTTCTATCTGTTACTGCATAGTAATAATTTATGTGAACTAATTTTCAAATGGAAAGTTCAGGCAAGTAGATATAGTTTAGAAATAATCATTCTAGAAATAATAAAATCATGTCCTTGGATGTTACATCCAGAAACATCTAGAAACAATTTTACAGTTGGTCAGCTGCAAAGTAACTGTGCTGACAGAAAAAAAATCTTGCCATCTTCATTAACTCAGAGCTGTAGTCCAATAGCAAGTTCAGAGCCGGTACTTAATTAGGAGAGGCTACTGTGCCAAGATTAGAGAAGAATGACTGCACAAAAGCACGTGTGCCACTGATTCAGTTTCTTCACAAGAACACTGAGCACATGAGTATTTTTTCCCAAAGCACTGGCGATAAGCATTAAATTGGCACAAAGAGAAAGGATTTTTGATATAGCATATTAGGATGCTAACAAGTGCCTTGCATGAGTGAAAAGAAATATTAAACTTGTTGTCTCATAAGATGAAAAAATGCTGTATAAAATCACCTGTATTTGGCTATTTTCCTGAAGTAGCCAAAATGCCACCAAAAAATGAAATTTGAGCATAACTTGAACTGGCATGACCTTGTTGCAGATGCTGATACACTTGAAGTCAAAGTCTTATATGTTGAAACAGAAAAATGTTACATTCTTGGATTTATATTCTTACTAATATCAATTTATAGGTTTAAATGCCTAAATGACAAGTTTCTTTGAAATTTACATTTAAAATGATTTCACATTACTTCATTTTAAACTAATCTTATGCTTCAAAGGAAGAAGTACTGGAGGAAGTTGTTCCAAAGGGGAAGGTATTCAGGAACTATAGATAAGGACAGATCAAAATTAATAAGGAAATTTGAGTAACATTTTTTAATTCAGTATCATAACAAAAGCTTATATGTACTTTCAAATAAGAAATTACAAACTAAATATAAATGAAAATGAACATGGAGTTTTATTTGACTATATTAAATATGTTTTTATTCTTACTATTGATACAAAGTATGCTCAGAGCATCTGGAAATAGAGCTGTTTATAAAATGAAGTAATAAATAGCATACAATTGAACAGGAACATAAGAGAATGACAGAGTTGGAAGGGGCCTTGGAGGTCTTCATACATTAAAAAATGTTAACATTCATATGGATTACAATAAGCAGGCCTGTTCGTTATTACTAATGATATAGCATAATTTATTTAGGGTTACCTATTGATGATTCTGACAGTGGAGTCTGGCATGATATGATCCGTGTTGCAAAGAATTGGACATGACTTAATACTGAACAACAGCAATTAATTATTCTATTTCATAAACAGTTAAGAAAGAGGGAAACAAAGCTACTGTATATTGCTTGTACTCTGAATATGAAGTATATATACTACATACATACAGTATATTAATGATGTGGGCATATTTCTGTTTATAAGCATTTCCATTTTAAACTATGCATTTTTAAATGAGTACTCTGAAAGGAAAAAAGTTAAACAGCATCTTTGACAGCAAAAAATTAATAAAGTTAAAACTGTAAAATAAATGTGATTGGTTTTTTGTCATTTTAAAGAATAACTCACAAAAACTGGGATAAACCCACAACTAACATATTTATCCCATCTCTGCCCTTGAAAATCCATGTGTATGAAATATGTCCATTACTTCTTTGCTAAATCTTTCCCCAAAAACGTTTTGTATCCTTTTAGATGTTGTGGGCTTTTAAAAATATTTTATATATTTATAACTCCCTGATAAAACCAAATAATTAAAAATTAAATACAGAGTAAGACTGATAACATCTTCACTGCAATTGCAGTTTATCTGATAATTTGATAAATCTATTATCAAATTGATTTTTGTTTTCATTTATATTTTTAATCTACAGAATTCTCATAATGACCCAATTGGAACAGCTCCAAATCAAAAAGTTGTAGAAGTGACGATTCCTGATATAGGGACTTACGTGGTTGAGTCAGAGGAAGGGGGGTATGATGATGAGGTATCATCTTCAACTTGGTCACAAACTATTACATCTTTCATGTGCTGTACATAGGTGCCTGAAAAACCTTTGGCATGCTTGCACATGATAGAAGTTAACTAGCTTTTGCTTTTTAACAAACTTAAATTCAGTTTGTTTATTGATATTGACCAAACCAGAAACTGCTGCTGCTTTGTTTCTAATGGCACATTTATTTGCATGATATAAAATTAAACTTAGATCATTCAGATGTATACATTTAAAACTTGCAAATTGTGTTTATGATATTATAAATCAGGTAAAAGGTGTGTCCTCACAATATTTAAATATACAAGCCACAAATTCACAGTTAAGCATTACTGTTATCTAAATATTTCTCACCTATATCTTTTGAGATATAAAAAATAAAACAATAAAGAGCTCAGGACATAATACATTCAAAGATAAAGCTTTAGTTATGAAAGCTAAAAAGTGCATAGTCAGTTTTGATACAAAAATTAAACTTCAGCCTATGCTTTAAGAATCATACTCTGTTATTGTATACAAGAAGGGCCACTTTTAAGTCATACACCAGTCACATTAGAATATGCCAAAAAAGTGATCTCTTTGTCAAGTAATGTGTTACCATCCTCCAAAATTTTACTCAGAATATTTAGAGTTTCTGTATACACAAGCTTTAGCGACCATATAGTTAAAAATGAGTGTTCTTTTATCCATTTAAAATCTTTTTAAATCATAAGCTTTTTAACCTTTCTGTTGGTAAATCAAAATCCTTTAAGATAATGGTATCAACATCAACATCATTCTTGTTGATGTTGTTTGTTGATGTTGTTTTAAAATAGTGAGGTTTTTTTCCCCCTTTACTTAATTCTCAAAACAAGGAAACTCGCCAGGTTTCTTTATTCTTTCCTGGAATTTTCAGGATCTCTCTTATATTATATATTAATTGTATACAGTACATCCAAAAGTATTTAAGAAAATGAGGCTTTGGGGGGTTAAGGTGACCATAAAGGGTACACAGTTTTGATTATGGAAGTAATCAACACAGTTCAGTTCCCGCTCATGGAGATGCTCACAGGGACATCTAACTTTCCATAGATCCTCACCTTGAAGCTTATATATTACTGGTAGAGTAACCTACACTCAAATGCATTCTCGCCTGTGAAAACCCTATGGGTACCTTTAGGTCCATTATTTTCCATTATTTTCATTTAGCGGAACTTCCTTCTGGGGATTGTCCAAATGGCATTTCAATAAAGGCAGATAGACTGGTAAGCCACTTTGAACACCTGGAATAAAATGAGGAAAATGCAACAAATAAAAAAGAAATTCCAGAAATAGAACTTAAAACAGAAACCATGATGCTTTTGATTGTGAAATACTAAGTTAGTTTTCCCATTGGAAGGCTTGAAAGAGGAAAATAAAACATTTACACATGGTTTACACAATTGAAATACATACCAATCAGCCACACATATCAAAGAGAGGAAAAATGATTGATATATGCACATTTTATACACAAACACAATCCCTCATTACATTCTGTATCTTATTTTATGAAGGTTGGAGAAAGTTTGAATATCTTGGACAGTTAGTAATTCTTTATATATTATTTTTGAGAAATATAGATATAAATTCTAGTTGTAACAAAATCACTGTGCCTCGTTGCTCGTTGTAGTAAAATTTACTTCCCTTTACAAAACCATTTGCATGTGCATGAAATGATAAATATATTTTTAAATGCTTGAGGTTAGTTCAGACATAAATTTAGATCAGCTAATTAAAGTGATATAATCTACTATATTTAAACCACTGAAGCAAAATCTAAACATTTGCCACTGCAGTTTGTGCATGCAGTTGCTATATGACATGAGTCTGTGAAGGCACATACTGACTTGAATTTATATTTTTCATTGCTCAATATATACATATATGAATCTCCTGTGACAGGTTATGCTGACCCCGAACATGCAAGGTATTATAATGGCTATAGGTAAAGCCACGCATATATATGACAGGTGTGGGCCAGAAGCAGGGTTCTTTCAGGTACAATCAATACTTTCAATTTTTCCTTTTCTGACTGTTTTTGTACTTTAATTTGTCTTTGAATTTTTAGTTTGTTTACATTTAAATGTTTTTTGTTGAAATTTCATCATCCGTACTTGGTAGTATTTTTATAACTTAATGCAGTTTTTACTTTTCCTTGAGATTAGTAAAATTGTAAACTTCAGTACAAATTTCAGAAAGTGGATACATGCTTAAGAATTAGTACACTAATTCAGATATTAAGTACTAACAACAATGATTTAAGTAATAGGGGTTTGTTTTTAATATTTTTAATACTGTTTTTAATCTTTTAGAGTCATTAAGAAAGTAGGTTGCAAATACATTTCCTAAATGAGAAAAATGAAGGGTTTGGTGGTTATCTAGTAATGCACGCACAGAAAATTGATGAAATTGCATATGATATTAGTGCATTTACTTACTAGGAGAAACAATAATTATGGCTATAAAGTTAAGTGTTTTAAACATAACCAGCCACAGACTTGCTTTCTATTATAATTGCCTAAACCTGCCTTTTGCAATAATTTTACAGTTACAACAGTTGAATTGGTGACTCCCTTTTCTTTTCTCTATTTTTTTTATTAAGCACATAGATCTGTCAATAGATTAACAGATATATCAGTCTTTATTGCTTGAATTAAATTATGCATCCTAGCACACATAACAACTGATAAGATTTTTTTCTCTTCTTCTTTCTGCTGATAGCAAACATAAAAACACATATATGTAAAATGCAAAACATACAGTTTTGATCCCAAAATTGATGTGGATTTAGATCAGCGGTTCTCAACCTGTGGGTCGTGACCCCTTTGGTGGGTCAACCAACCCTTTCGCCTAAGAGTCCTGAGTGTGGCTCTTTCACAACCCGCACACCCTGACCCCGCATTGGTGCCGGTCGGGGGGCTGAAAATGGAGCCATGGCGCTCGACTGGCAGAGGCGGCAGCTGCAGCGCTGCTGGGTGCTTCTGCTGGGCGTGTTGCCCTCGCTCTCGGGCACCTGCCTTTGCTACAGCCTGCTACTCCTCTGCTGCACTCCCCCAGCCATCCCCTGACAGTGCCCACTGCCCAAAGAAACTTCTGCAGAAGTGACGCGCCTACCCACCTTCCGCCCCTTGGCTAGCCGGTGGGCGATAGGGGCGGTGGGAGCAACCAGGCCAAGGCAGCAGTGGCCAAAAGGCTCCCGCATGCGCTGATTGGGGGTGTCAACATGGGAGGCACCTGCACAATGCTGGAGTTCATCCGCGGCCACCCAGGTGTGTGTGCCCTCAGCACCAAGCCCTACTTCTTCAACCGGCACTACAAGCGGGACCTGGAGTATTACAGATGAGGCAGCTCAGTGGAGCTCTGGAAGTGGTCGCCATGGGAACAGGCGGAGGGAGAGCTGCCCAGCAGCCCCTGCCCATCTCACCGGATCGTCTGGCCGCGGTGCTCTGCTTTCCATCGGGCCTGGAGCGTCAGAACCTCGAAGCACTGCTCCGCATCTTGGGCTCCCCAGTGACCCGCCAGCTCACTTTGGTGCCCGTCCTGCGCCCCTCGCACGCTTTCCCATGTGCCCTGCCAACCCTCCGCCTCCTCACCTGGTTTGAGGCAGCGGCGGGAAGCGGTGCTCCTTCCCGTCCGTCCCCCGTTTCCCGGCCGAGACTTCCTCTTGTGCGACCCCCTCTTCCTCCTCTCACAACCCCCTGACCAGCTGTGGTGGGGCTGGGAGGGTGGGCACACATGAGGAGACCCCCCAAAAGCGAGCTCCAAAGCGCAGCAAAGGTGTGTGCGGGGCGGCTGGCTGTTTGCTTAAGAAGGGTCTTAACAGAGCACAAAAGGATATGGCTTCTCTCCTGCACTAAGGCTTCAGCCATGACCTTGCTGTGTCCTCCATGTCTTTGGCTGAGAGCGGAGGGCACAAGCTCAAACTTGAAGTTGCAGAAAGAGAAGGCTGCCTAATGGGCGAATGTGGTGCAAAGTGAGGTACAGGGCTGCTTCGCTTCTTCACTAAGGCTCTGGTGACCCTCCTCCTCCTCCCTCTCCTCCTCTCATGTGAGGGGGAGGGATGACACAGCAAGGCTGGGGGATTGTGAGAGGGAGAGGAAGCCACCTGAAGGGAGGCTTCCACCATTGCTGGCGATTGTTCCTCAGCAGGGAGAGAGAGACAGAGAAGGGAGAGAGAGGGAGAAAGAAAGAGATGGGGAGAAGAAGGGAGAAATAGCCGGGAGGGAGAGAGGGAGAAAGAGATGGGAAGAGGGCAGGAGAGAAATGAGAGGGAGAGGAAGGGAGATAGTGAAAGAGAGAAATTGAGAGAGAAAGAGATGAGAGGGAGGGAGGGAGGGAGAGAGAAAAAGAGATGGGAGAGGTGAATGAGAGAAATGGAGGTGGGAGAAACAGGTAAAGAGATTGGGGAGAGAGGGAGATAGAGAGAGAGGGAGAAAGAGAGATGGGAGAGGGAGAAAGAGAGAAGGGCAGAGGGAGAAATGTGTGTGTGTGTATTTCCCATAGAAAAGAAAACAGCCACAAAACCTGGGAAGCCATGGCTAGAGGGGAGTCAGGTGACTTGGTGGGAGTGAGTAACATCGAGTTGGCCATGCCGACTCAGATTTTGTGGCTCCCGTTGTTTTCTCTGGGAAATGAGCCCAAGTGGCTCTTTGAGTGTTTAAGATTGCAGACCCCGGCCTAAGGACATGAGAAAACACATATTTTCGATGGTCTTAGGAATCGAGACACTGGTTCCTATGGTTGGGGGTCACCACAACATGAGGAACTGTATTAAAGGGTCGCGGCATTGGGAAGGTTGAGAACCACTGGTTTGGATCATTCTAAAAGTTAAGTGTAAAATTTATTCTAAATTTATCTTAAAGTGGAAGATCAATGAATTCAATCTTCCTGTAACATGGTATGGAATTCATATTCTTGTTCTAATTATGGAAGCTAAATAAAGAAATTTGCATTAGAGATAGCTGAAGAAATTAATAAAAGGAAAGATTATGAATCCCTAAGAGATACGACCTCAGAAAAGTTACATGTGTAAATAAAATGACAATGAAAGCTGATTGGAGCCGATGGAATATGGATTATTCCCATAATGCAAGAAATTTTCTTTATTTGCTTGTTTCTACTCCATTATAGAAGATAGTATGTGTAATAAAGATTAATGATATATCTCTGAAGCATTTCACAGCTTTTCTCTTACACGTGCATTTTATATTATTACATGTTTGTTTATTTTTTTTACTAAAATCTGAGTATATTTAACTCAAAATATAATAAATGGATGCATTATATCAAGCGTAGTTCCAAAACTGTTAACAGTCATTTCCTGGTTCAGCTTTAATTTGAAACAGAAATAATTAAGATCTTCCTTGATATTTGCATAGCAGCACAAAGGAGTGATAAAAGAATCATATGTATACTTATAAACTTGTTTTAGCCTACCATATAAATCCAAAACACACTTGCTTTTCAGTTAAAACATAGCTTAGCAAATCTGCATGGAAATGATCACATTATCTTCATTATAAATATATATGTTATGAAACTGAGCTATATTCCTAAACAAATAAGATTCCAGATGCGTATTTCAAATTGTATTGATTCAATGATATATTACGTTTTTGTTTTATGTCTATGTGTCGTATTTTTAATTGTATTAGTGTTGTATATGACTGTATAGGAGACAATGACAGCACATTCTTAATGAATCTGTTTATTTTTCATTTGTTTAAAAATACTTCAGTTCTTTTCTATGCTTTGTGTATAAAGATTGTATGTATTGTAACTTGTTAATTGTACTCTAGCAGATGCATATTTATTAAACACTGTTTGGATGCAGTCCAGTGCTAATATAGAACTAAATTTGATTAAATGTTTCGACTATGCAGTGTAGTATAAAACATTGGTCTGATACTATGCTTTCTTATTTTTTAAAAAATTCATTTTACTTAGAAATAAAAAAATAGATTTAATTTAAATAGATTTTTGTTATACGTTAACACAAAAACAAAATTTGTAATCCAACATTATTTCTAAAGAAATGCTAATTGCAGTCTATATTTTAAAGGTTGTTCAATCACACAATTCAACCTGTTTGTTATTTTTAACATTTATATATAATTTTAATATGCCTAGGGCCCATATGTTTTAATTCAATAAGATCTTTAGTTTTGAAAATGGACAGTTCAATAACATCCACTTTCATTTTGTATTAAGGCAATAAAATTTGAATATGCAAGATTACTCAAACTGGCCCAAGAAGACACACCACCTGAGCGTGATTATCGTTTGCATCATGCAATTGTATACTTCATCCAGAATCAGGCCCCAAAGAAAATAATTGAGCGAACATTGTTGGAGCAGTTTGCAGATCACAATTTAAGCTTTGATGAAAGGTAATTTTGTAAGCAGGCTTGCATCAAAAAATTTTAAACAAAGATTCTTAAGGAGTAAAGAACTGTAAGTATCATTGGTTTAAATGGATCAGCTTTAAAAAAAATATTCTGTAAAAAAAAGTTATTTTTTCTCATTCATAGTGATCCAGACTGTATTCCATTACCAAATTTGAATGTAGTTAATGTTTTATTTATGCTAAATGTTAGTGAAATAAAGTATATTATTAATATGTTTTATATGTTGAACATTCCATCCACACCCTAGGAATATATATGAAATATATATGAAGTCATATGTATTCTTGTTTGAAAGAACTATTGTTTCATTTTCAGTAATACTCAAAACTTTAAGAAAAACTATGTCATACTGCAACTGTAGACCCACCTTGTGACACTACATTGTGTTTAACTTAGTATAGATGTAAAAGTCAAGCTGACCCTTTCACACACCAAAATACACTCTTGCTCGCAATAGCAATAGCGCTTAAACTTATATACTGTTTCATAGTGCTTTACAGAACTTCTAAGTGGTTTACAGAGTGAGCATATTGCCCCCAACAATCTGGGTCCTCATTTTACTGACCTTGGAAAGATGGAAAGCTGAATCAACCTTGAACTGGTTAGGATCAAACTCCTGGCAGTGGGCAGACTCAGTCAGTCTGTAATACTTCACCATGGCACCACCCCTGTAAATAGGTTGATGTTATTGTAAAATAAATGTAGGGGATAGCAGATATATCTGAAACCAAAGCTATGAATTCTTTGCCTGGAATGTTACAATTATGTTTGTTGCTCTGAAGCATGACTAATATTATCTTCATTAATTCATTTTCTTTTACTTCCTAAGGTGCCGTAATGTGATGAAAGTGGCTCAAGCCAAACTTCAAATGATAAAACCAGATGAAGTCAACATGGAAGATTATGAGGTTAGGCTTCTGCTTTGAAACTTGTTTAGTAAATTGTATTTTAATCTACAGAATAGACAAAAGCTTCAATACAGCCACAATTAATTTATAACCAATTGTTGGACATTTTTATAAAACTAGTGGCTAGAACTACCTGGTTTTAATTTTAAACTTCTTGCAGTTATTTTTATGTGTAAAACAGGAATTAAAAAGGAGTGGAAAACATATTTTAAAAAATCAAGTCAGTAAAATGTATTGTACTTTTAAAAACTATTGGTTTTTCTCATTGATGTGAATGGCTGCAGAGTTTTTGCAGATTTGCCTTAAGTACGTGACATTAGTGAATTTAATATTTATTTCTCTTTTTGTCATTTCTGTGCAGTGGTGGCACCAAGAATACATAAATTTCAGAGAGACAACAATATATCTCATGGTGGGATTGGAACATTTTCAAAAGAGGAAGTAAGAGAATCCAAACACTTATTAAAGTTATACAATATATTTGAAGCTACTGTATACCCCCAAGGAAAGATTATTATATTGAAACATTACAAATACTGTATTAAATTTAGAAAATTTATAAAATAGTACAAAGTTTTCAGATTTTTCTCCACTGCAACTAATCTTAATGGTGAAGGATTCCTAATGTAGACAGTGTATCAGTTATATTCTTTAAAGGATGAGGATGTATAAGTGAGTACAATTCCAGAGCGGGCAAATTTTAATTTCTTCTATAAACAATGACCAGTGGATTCTGTTTCTTGTTTTTCTATTTTTCTTTTTCTAAACTATATTTTTTATTTCTAACAAAACAAAAAATGCTTGTGAAAGAAATTAGAACAGAACCCCAAACCAAAAGATAAATTAATATGTAAAAGGGTAGAGAAGCCTATGACAGAAGCAATGTTCAGTTATTATTCACAAAAATAGTAAAATAATAAAACAATAAAGCTCATTTAAGTCATGCACAAATATTGAAAATGTAATAGGTTCAGACACTTAAGTATCCTTATACAAAACTGTTCCTATGGGCATACACTGATTGTTTTCCAACTATAATTTCAGGTGCTGGTACTAGGAGACAGAGAGAGAGAGAAAGATGATAGATGAAATTTTGTATGTTACCGTCAATGTGTGAAATTAGACATTTTATAGAATGCCAAAAATAGAACTTCGGAGTATGAATATTTCACATGTTTCGTAAGCATTCTATGAAATGCCAAAAGGCAAACCAGCAAAGTATAAAATTCTCCTGGTAAAATGCCATTCTAGCCTTCCTTGTTGCAATAAGTAGATTGGTACTGATATTTTTCTCTCTCTTTTCATAAAAAAGTTCTATTCTTTATTTTACAATTCTTCTCTCATTTTCATATACATGTTTTCAATGAAGGGGGTTAGAGTTAGGGTTAGAAAAACTCAAATAGTGCAAGATCACGAAATGTGATCTGGGTCATAGAATTGCCAAGAGTTGTACTTGACTAAATAGATACACCTTCAACACCAACCCTAACCCTTTTCATGATTCCCTTTTCATACTTTGCCTGTATAGTTCTTGTCATTCTGCATAATGCATAGGTACTCTATACAATGCCTAGGAAAAATATCTGGCATATTAAAACAACACAGACTTTTCCCTAAAAACGCCACATACAATGCCAGCTTTTCATACATTGGATCAGAGGTGGATTCCTACTGGTTTGACCGAGTAGGTAGTAACTCGGCCTGCCACACCCCCAAACCAGTTCTCTTGGCAGCACCATAGGCGCTGCCATCTTGTTTTTTGCTTCTGTGCATGCGCAGAAACTTTTTTTAGTACTGTGCATGTAGTGTGCATGAAGCGCGTGTGCACAGTGCATCCCTGTGCAAACCAGCAGCCGGAAATCACCCCTGCATTGAATGGATGGATGGATTAGATGGATGGCCCCACTGTACTTTTTCTTTCCAATATAAAGATTTAAGCAATGTTGTTGTTTTATTCCAATGTTTTGTATATGTATAAATATTGGTTATATGATGGCATACATCAAATGTATATACATTATTATAAAAATGATCTTAATGGCATTTGAAAATATTTTTGTTTTCTAGTTTTAAAGAAGCTTTGTTATATCTAATATGTGCATATCACAAGAATAAAGAACTATCAGCAAATGGTTTGTATAGGGGGCATGATGAAGAACTGATATCCCATTACAGAAGAGAATGTTTGCTGGTAAGTAAAATTAATATTTGATTCCCATGATTCCAGTAGCGTATAATTTTTATTTTTTTTAATAAAATCATAATCAGTTCAAAATCACTCTCAATAATTGTATGAAATTTAATACCAATCTTGCTATTAAGACGAGAGGATTGAGCCAACTTTAGGCTTTTCAAATTTAGTTTGGTATCATGTTATTTGGACTGTTTTGCGTTTTTTGTTACAGTTGTTTATTACTTATACTGAAGTTAACTCTATACCTTTTGCATGAGGAAAAATGTCTATTTGAAAAATTGGATCTCTCTGGAAGTAGTATAAATATTTACTGTTGTGGTTGTTTTTTATTGCATGAAGAAACTAAATGAGTGTGCTGCTGCACAGTTTGAATCTGGAGATGATCAACAGGTAAATAAGGGCCTGGAAATTATGAATGAGCTTATCGTCCCTTGTCTACCATTATTGCTGGTGGATGAAACGGAGGAAAAGGATATTGTTGCTGTGGAAGATATGAGAAACAGGTGGTGTTCATACCTTGGACAAGAAATGGAGCGTAAGTTCCCTCTAGATATAACTTTTTAGATATACAGTATATACAAATTATATGATTATAATTTGCTTGAACAAATTGCATTTCTTGAATTTGCACATATTACTTGAATACAAAGCAAAATATCTTGAATTTCTATTTAGGTAGGAGTGATTTTAATATATCCTTAAAGTTAATGTATTGGAAATGGGGAGAGAAATTGGGTTGTCATGATGAAAAATTTAACATATTTTACCATTAATAGGCACAATCTGTCAGGTTGACCAAAAAGCAAAACACATACTTACCGTATTTTTTGGAACATAAGACGCACCTTTTTCCCCCCAGAAAAGAGGGTGAAAATCTGGGTTCATCTTACACTGAATACACCATATTTGGCCCGAAACCCTGCCCAACGCATCCAGTTTTTCGCAAAAATGGAAGGTTTGGGAGGCCTGCAAAGTGCTCCCAGGGGCCAGGAGGGCAAAACGAGCGGAAAATAGGCCTGTTTTTCACAAAAACAGGGCTGTTTTTGCCCTTCCCAGGACCCTTCCCACATCCTCTTCACACCCCTCTTTTTTTGCAAAAAAGGGGGCTTTTTTGGCTCTGTTTTTTGCCCTCCTCAGCTGCCAGGAGCATTCTACAGGCCTCCCACGACCTCTGTATGCCCATTTTTTTCCCCCAAAGCCCCCATGTGTCACATTTTTGCCCTCCCCAGCCCCTAGGAGCACTTTACATGCCTCTCAAACTATCTACATGCCCCCCCTTTTCCCCCCAAAAAAACGGTGTGCAGAGGGTTTGGGAGGCCTATAGAGTGCTCCTGGGGGCCAGGGAGGGCAAAACCTTTTAAAATATTTTTTACCTCTTGGTGCATCTTTTACTCCAATGCATCTTATAGTCCAAAAATGTGGTATTAAATTTAATGTATTGTATTATTTACATTTGGTAAGGATACAAACTCTGTATGATAACACTTGACATACACCATGTTTTACTGTTAAAACCTCTTGTTAAGTTGTCATGAGGTGATCCATTGAACGATCCATTAGCTTTAGTGGATAGGCTGACACTGGAAAGTTTGTTCTTATTATTAACCTTGCTCTTTATAATGCAATAATTATTCTCATCAGAGATACCCATATGGATTTGCAGTCACAGGAAGCAGTTTTATAACTAGCTAGAATCAGTCATCACTGAGATATCTTATAAGATGTTTTGCTTGCTCCTTGATAATTGAGAAAAATAATTCCAAACCTACATTGTTTTCTTTACAGCTAATTTACAAGAAAAATTGACGGATTTTCTGCCAAAATTGCTAGATTGTTCTACAGAAATTAAAAGCTTCAATGACTCACCGAAATTACCTTCTTATTCTACCAATGAACTGTGTGAGCGTTTTGCCCGAATCATGTTGTCCCTCAGCCGAACTCCAGCTGATGGAAGATAAATACGGAAGACCTTCCTTATGCACACTGTATAAACTGTTTTTTATTCTTAATCCTTGCCTTCCTGTCACAGGATTTGCTTGTTGCTGCTATAGTTTTTAACTCTTTCATTTTAATAAGTGTAAGAAAAGAAAGCGGATTGTACAGAAATTAGCCAGACTGCAGACAATATTACTGAGAATCGCATGGTACTCAGTTCCTAGTCAGCCAGAATTTGTGCAACATTACAAGTCTGATTTATTTTGGCAAACCTGCTTTTTTGCCACTTACCTGTTACAGTATTATTTCACTTTTAACTTAAGATCTTTTACTTCATGAACAGTTTTCTGTTCGGTCTGGACTATTCTGTGACTCCATCAATTTTAAAGTGACCAGTGTACAATACATGATACCTGGTAGCTTGTAAATTACATCAAAGAATAAAAAAGTTTTATTTATGGCTGCTTTGGTTGCAAATGAATTATATTTTTTTAAATGAGAAATTTATATTTGTGAATTATAAACCTACATTTTGTACATGGTATATAGCATAATTGATATATTGATAATGATAAGTAGTGCAGGCAGGCATAAGATCCTTGGAAAATTGTTGATGTTTAAATTATACTTAAATACGTAGCATACAGAAAGGTTCAGGCATTTAGACTCCAATGTCCTCAGCCTATCAAGTTGTAATTCTCTGGTGGTCATTGGCTTCCATTTCCAAAACCAAGTGGCTGTCTAAACTAATAAGCGATCCTGGTATTGGTCTTACCTGCCTACCTAGCTTATCTGACTCTCATAGACTTTGCAGGACACACGTTCTTAGTTCTTTAAATTGGAAGAACAACCACTGCACAAACAACTTTAGGACTTTGATAGCAGACACTAGGCAGAATAAAGGCAATAGGAATTACAAGTAGTCCTCAACTTAACAACAGTTCATTTAGTGACTGTTCAGACTGTTCACTTATTGAACAGGCATTGAAAAAAGTGACTTAGGACCACTTTTCACACTTATGACCATTTCAACATCCCTTTGGTCACATGATCAAGATTCAAATGCTTGGCATCTGACTCATATTGGGGTCATGTGATCATTTTTTAGGACTTTCTGACCAGCAAAATCAATGGGGAACCCTGATTGAATTAACTGTGACTAACAATTTCAGTGATTCACTTAACAACTGTGGCAAGAAAAGTTATAAAATGAGGCAAAACTCACTTAACAATTATTTCACTTAACAACAGGAAATTTTGGGCTCAATTATGGTTGTAAATTGAGGACTATCTGTACTGCTGTTTTCAATAATGTAGTTTCTGTGTCCTCTGTATAAAATTATGTAAAGGTAAATTGAAATTTCCATTTAAGGATTATTTACATTGTTTCTCATCTGTTGCTAGAAATACATGGCTGACATATTAGAAAAACACAAATTGATAGGGATTTTTAAGATTATGACTTTTCAAATATGAATAGTATAGTTAAACACTTTTCTATTATCAGTTATAATTTCAAATGTTAAATTACACATACATAACTGCAATTGTTGCCAATTTTTCCTGTGCAAAGAAATGTTTATTTACATTAAATAACACTAACAGAAAAATCAGTGTATTGCTTTAATTTATAAGTGATTTATGTGGTCAAGAGGTAACATGTTTATTTTTCCCTGTAAGTCTCAAGACACACCTTGCAAATAATTTCTGCAGTGATTGGGTTATTATCAAATACATGCAAATAAATAAATTGAAATACTTCAGTAGCCACCTAAACATTAGTTTTTTTCAATGTTAAACCATTAAGCAAGCAAAACTAAACATTGCTTTTTTATAAGAAGCAGTACAGAAGTGTTTTGATAATATATATCTATCCAAGACAACAACATGGTATCTTCAAATTTGACAAATGAAACATCTGAATATATATGGTTCTTTATTTTTGCTACTAACTTGTTTAATTTTAGATGTCAATTTTATTTTTATGAGATATGATAATATGAAAAAGGTATATTACAACAACATTTTATTTTATATATATATTTTTATACATTATTCCATTTCTAGGATTCTGGGTGATTACACAGAGGGAAATTCTGTTAATTCAAAATCTGTAAAATATAATAGAAACCAAACAGGTTAAATAAGGCACGGAATCATTCTATAACTATTCTTTCATCTACTCCTTTCCTTCTCTCCATAAGAATACAAATCAAGAAATAACATTTTAATGCTAAATCAAGAAATTGACCTTAATTTTCATAAGATTTACCCATATCATGACACTTAAGAGTAAGTTCTGGATCTGGAATCCTGTAGATCAGGGAATCAAACTGGCAACCCACGAGGGCCAGATGCATTACACGCAGGCCACGCCCACCCCGATTCTGCAAAGGCAAAAGCATTGCAATATCTCATGTGATATCACGTGACGCAATCAAGTTTGACACCTGTGCTCTAGATCCTTTTTAGTATATTTGTAATTTGCAGTTTTGTAGTTTTGTAGTTTAGAAATATATTATTGCTATCCTAATCCAAATCAGCAGTAACAAATTCTTCATAGAAGAGAAAAATAGATTTAAAAAAAAAATAGGCACTATATTATCTCAATATTAGACTTTTTGAATTACCAGTGCTTATTTATTAGATACTTGTTAAAAAATTACATAAATATACAAACTGAACTAAAAGACTTTCTTTACTGTTCAATTCTTCCCCATCACTACCTGCTGTGATTTCTTAAATTTTAAAATCAAAAATCCATTTTAATGGATAATAACAGTGGTACTGAAACATTTTAGTGGTCTTTTGAAGTGCATAATTCCTCCTATTTGCTAGTGTTAAATTAATGGATAATAGCCTGAGTTGTTCTTTATTGGATTATTTTTAATTATCCATTATTTTCCATTTTATTTCTGTAAGAGACCTATTTCTGTATATAGAACAAAATAATTTCCTGACTTATTGAAAAAGGCCTTTGCAGCCTTAGTTTTATCAATTTTCACTCAGGAGTGAACAGCCCTGAATAACACACAGTAGTATTCTTTTAGAGTAGTAGTCCTCATTTTAGCAACCATTTGAGGTTATGACAGTATAAACAAAGTAGCTTTGCAAGCAATCTTTAACATTTATTAGTATCACAGTATCCTGTAGTCACATGATTTTCATTTCTGTTCTTCACAATTGGCTTGCAGCAAGCAGAGTTAATAGTGGAAGTGGAAGTAATAGTTGTGTTCACATGATGTGTCAGCTAATGAAACACTTTGCTTAACATCCGAAAGAGAAATGAGATTGTAAGCTTGTTATGGTCAAATGATTTTCTATATACTACTATGTTTTCCTGAAAATATGATATGTCTTGAAAATAAGGCCATGCCACATTTTTCGGGTGGGCAAAAATATAAGCCCTCCCACAAAAATAAGACCCTGGAAAACCCATCCGGCCAAGCAAAGCGCCACTCAATGACCTAGCGGTATCCTAAAGGCTCCAAGCCACAGGAACCGGGGGGGGGCAAAGGGGCTTGTGTTGCTTGGGGCCTTCGAGATACCGCTAGGTCAGTGAGTGGTGCTATGCCCAGCTGGAGAGGGGGGTTGCCAGGCGGCTGCTCGTGAGCAGGCTTCCGAAGAGCCGGGCGCAGCCTTAGGGGCAAATGGCTGTGCTGCACAGTCGCACCAGCGCAACACAGCAGCCATGAGGTAACCATGCTCACAAGCAGCCACCCGGCAAACCCCTTTCCAGCCGGGCACAGTGCCATTCACTGACCTAGGGATATCGGCAACCAACATGAGCACCTGTTCACCACCCCAGGCTCCCATGGGTTGGCGCCTTCGGAATGCCCCTAGGTCAGTGAATGGTGCTCTGCATGGCTGGAGAGGGTGGTTGCACGAGCAGCTGTTCCGCTCACGCTCCTCCCAGCCTCATGCCCTGGCCCAGCTCTCCCTGCTGAGCCAGGGTGCTGCCACTGCTGCCATCCCAGCATGGCTTTTTCTGCAGCTTCCAAACCACAGAAGTAGGCTGCTGCGTCTTCTGACAGTGGCCACTCTGGGAGTACACTCGATGGTTGTACACTCTGGGAGTACACTCTGCTGACAGCTGGGCCACAACCATAGAGCGTACTCCCAGAGTGTACAATCATAGAGCATACTCCCAGAGCAGCAACTGCCATAAGACTAGGCAGCCTACCTCCGTGGTTTGGAAGCAGCAGAAAAAGCCATACTGGAATAGCGGCAGCGGCGGTGCCGTGGCTCTGCAGGAAGTGATGGGCCAGGGCATCCTGAGGATGGGAGTGGGGAGTGGAACAGCTGTTCGTGCAACCCCTATCTCCAGCCATTCAGCGCACCATTCGCTGACCTAGGGGCATTCCGAAGGCGCCAAGCCATGGGAGCCAGGGGACGGCGAACAGGTGCTCACGCAACTTGGTGATATCCCTAGATCAGTGAATGGTGCTCTGCACGGCTGGAAAGGGGGTTTGCCGGGTGGCTGCTTGTGAGCGTGGTCACCTCATGGCTGTTGTGTTGCGCTGCTGTGACAGCGCAACACAGCCATTCTCCCCTAAGGCTGTGCCCAGCTCTTTGGGAGCCCGCTCACAAGAGAGCAGCTGCCCGGCAACCCCAAAACAATAAGCCCTCCCCTGATAATAAGGCCCAAGCCATATTTTGTGGGTCAAAAGAAAATAAGACACTCTCTTATTTTCGGGGAAACGCGGTATCTGTGGTGCTTAGTGATGGATTTCCCAATTGTGGGAAATCCCACTAAGTAAGGACTACCTCTAATAGTATTTTATGCTGGAGGAACCTTATTTCATCCCACTTTCATCCCACTTTCAACTGATTATGAAAATACTTGCTAGCAATCTTAAAGTTGAATCAGTATGGTTTATTATTTGAACCTCGAAGGGAGATGACCATATTATGAGTGAAAGCATTTTAACTTTTACATGAAAAAAGATACTTCATGTGGATTTAGAAGAGTGAGCTCTAGTATAGGGATGCATTCATTGTGACAGCAGAATTCTGGATTTTTAGTAGGGTCATCCCCACTATCCCTATATGGAAATAATTTGGATAGAAGTTGGTACTTTTCTAATTTTATCCTTTCTTTTAGAAATAATTGGAATAAATATATTAATATGGAAAGACATGTATTTAGTCAATCCCACAATATTTTAAAATTCTTACAATACATAAAGAACAGTTATTAAAATTCTCAGTTGCAATTATGTAAGCATATGTAATTGTGTTAAAAGTTCTCTCTTTTTTTGAGATGAGTCTTTTTTGTCAAACCATTTAATTCATAGAAGAAGATTAACTGTTCCTTAACCCTCTTCTTTGCAACCAGATGATATCAGTAGTTAAGATCAAAGCCTCAATTACTGACATCCTACTGTCTTGTACTACTTTTCAGAAAATGATGGGTTCTAATATTGCTCTCAAAATTCATAGTTCTACCATTCTTCACCTTTCC